CCAGCCACGGCTGTGCGGCTTCCGCCCCGATACGATAGAAGTGCTCGTCGAGGGTACGCCCTTGCAATGGTGGAAGTGTGAACGAGGCATCAGGAAGGACGGCTCCTTGCGAGGGGTCGAGGCCATGCGCTCGCAGATGTTCCTGCGCGATGCGCACGTACGTATCGTTTGGGGCGGGAAATGAGACGTTGCGGAATATCTGAGAGTGGAGTTTGCGAGGGAGCAGCTGGACCCCCAGCTTGTTGCGTTTGACTACAGACGAGACAAGTCAGCGATCGCGTGCCCTGTGAGATATGAAAGCGTCTCACCATCTGACACGACCTTTTTCTTTGCAACTGAATTCTTATTTCTAACAACTGTGCCAACTTCGTGTAAGTTCTGGCTGACCACACTATGAAAAGGAGGTAATCGCTTTTGCAGCTGAGCAGACTTGGGAGCAGCGGTGTGGAACAATCGCGGAAATCGTGACAACGTGGATGATGTTGATTGCATTCGACTCTTCCTTGCATTCGCCGCAATTCAGCACTCGATTAGAGACGGAGAAGGGTGAGATGGGGGGCCGAGGGTCAAGTACGAGTCGTCGCACAGAGAGCGGATGCTCTAGAAGGCTATCTGAAGTAATGGAAAAGCCGCGACTGGGATTGTAGGCTATTGTAAAGTAAGTTACAAATGAATAATTATGCGATAAACGAATGCGACGAAACGCTGGATCGATATGATAGGTGGCCGACGATCTTGGTGGCATCTGATCTAATTTAAGACTGAAGGATCTCAAGGTCGTCGTTTGACTCGCCACAACTCGCGTTCGTCTGTTTCTAGTTCACCACCTCCGACACACGTGTATCCTATTTTCTGGTGCTGCCACTCGCGAAATTGACAGCTCCTGGAATATTATATTTTTGAGCCTTCACGTTCGTCCACGAGCCGCTGCCATGATAAGTGTGACGCTGGCGTTCCTGATCTCGTGGCATCTTCGCGAGCTCAAGTACGGCATGGGTGTGGGATAGAGGTAAGTAGTACCAATGCTCGATACTGCAAACTGCTGGCTGATACTGGTGGACGGTCATCGGCAGACAGCAAACAGCTATCCAAAATGAAAGCAGGGTGCGGGTGACTTTGCAGCAGTGATTTTGCAGCTCGGTGGCTGAATTCGGGATAATATGTGATGCGATTGCCCCGTCTCACATTTATTTGAAATGCTTCTCACCACCATGTGCAAGCTGTTTTCGTCAAGCGCCCCCGATTCAAGATAGAACTCGCATAAAATCCGCGCGGGATGTCTCTGTCTGCTAGGGACCTTCTCGTCCATCGTCCAGCATGGTCTCTGCGCTCTTGCTCCTCGGTGCTCTCCCCATCGCGTCTGCGTATCCCTGGGACGCGCCGTCCGCCTCCCCGTATGCGGGTTCGGCCACCAGCGACGTATATCCACCTCCGACAGCGACATTCTCGAGCTATGAGACATACTTTCCGGACGAGGAGCAGGTTGGCTTTGCTGGTCCTACACCCAGTATGTAGCTGCCTACTACGGTGCTTTCACTTTCGCTCATCTCCCTCCAGCCGGTGCTGAGCCAGACGCCATCCAGACGGCCCCTGCCGCTGCCATGAAAGTGGACACCTACCCTCTCATCAACCCGTACACGGGTGAACCGGGCGTTAACCCCGAGTTCAACCCGATGCGCTACTGGGGGAATCTTGCTCCTTGGTGGTCCGTTGGAGGCGCGTTTGGGCTCCCTGACACGACCCCACAAATCCCCGAAAGCTGCGAGCTCACGCAGGTGCACCTTCTCCAGCGCCACGGTGCGCGCTACCCCACCGATGGCTCAGGCCCGAGTCAGTTCGCCGCGACCTTGAACTCGATCGCGAATAGTACTGGCTTCACCGCTACTGGTCCGCTCGCCTTTTTAAACACTTGGACGTACAAACTCGGCGCGGAGGTTTTGACGCCGTTTGGTAGGCAGCAACTGTAAGCGTATTCTCTCTGCCATAATGGGAACGCAGATACTCAGTACAGTGAACTAGATACGACCTCGGCGCTGCGTTCAGGGTCAAGTATGGTGAATTGTTGAATGGTTTCGAGGGTCTTCCGGTGTTTCGTACCACATCTGAAGGTGAGTTCTACGTCCAGTCCATCTCGTACTTGTCCGCGAAGTGATGACCATGGCGGATAGATCGTATGGTTCAGTCCGGGTAGGTGCTACGATGCATCATGGAAGCACCATGCTGACACTTCCCAGCCTGAACTGGGCTGCCGGATTCTTCGGTGTGCAAGAATACTCGACTTCCTACTATGAGGAAATCATAATTGAGGAGGATGGGTATAACAATACTCTTGCCCCATGGAACGCATGCCCCAACGGCAACAATGATATCTACGAGATGGGCTCATGGTATCAGGGTAACTGGACGGAAGTGTACCTCAAGGACACCGTGAAGCGTCTGCAACAGTATATTGACGGTGTCGAGCTGGATACTTCGAACGTGTATATCATGCAAGAGCTGTGCGCGTACGAGACCGTGTCGATTGGCTACTCTGCATTCTGTGACTTGTTCACTGAGGAGGAATGGGAGGGCTTCGAGTACTCCCTCGGTTCGTATTCGACTTTGCTCCTTGTGTGTGCCAATTGATTGATGATGCGTACAGATGTTCAATTCTGGTACGGCTACGGCCCTGGAAATCCCGCTGGTTCCGCGCAGGGCATTGGCTATGTCCAGGAACTCGTTTCGCGTCTCACCGAGACTCTACTAACCGAATTCAACACCACCACAAACGGTACTCTAGATGGTAACACTGTTACATTCCCGCTTGATCAGCCGATCTACATGGACGCTACCCACGACACTGTCATTGCATCTAGTAAGTTCCCTAGAGCCGATAACTCATTGCGATGCTTATGCAATAATCACAGTCATCACGGCCATGAACTTCACTACAATGGCCAGGAACGGACCTCTTCCGGTCGACCACATTCCAGCTGATCAGGTGTGTATCACTTAGGTCGTGTATCTATCCTCGTCTCACTGCATCCTATATTACAGACGTACTTCACGAACCTTATTGCTCCGTTTGCGTCGAATCTCGTCGGTCAGGTCATGACTTGCCCTGTTTCACCCGGTTCTTCACACACAGAAAAGTACATTCGCTTCTTGCTCAACGACGGGCCCGTCCCGCTCACGGGCATTGCACACTGCGAGACGCCTAACAAGGACGGGCTGTGTCTCCTTGACAACTTCATCGCGGGCATGCAGCAGCGTATTCAGGAAGTGAACTTCCAGTATGACTGCTTCGCGAATTACCCGCCTCCATACCCTGATTTACTCACTAACGGACGGATGTGGATCTGAGCACGATGTAGGCTAGGCAACGAATTAAAAGTAGCTTTGGTTTAAAACATCCATGTTGATAGTTCAGCATTTCATCGAGCTACCCCCAAAGTTGATTTCTTTGGATAAATGAGGAGCTGCGAAGTAATTAGTAGCAAGGCGGCCGAGCAAGTGCACGAGCGAAAGCCACGTGGGCCCTCCAGTCAAGACCCGGACTTCTCGAGTCCTAGATCCGCCACAATGGTCCCTGTCTTTACTTGCAGTGATTCATCGTCGACCGCTGCGCTCACACGATATCCAATCCAACATTATGATCTATTTGTCAGGTTGCGCGGTGGTGAGTATTGCCATCCCGGTCGGCGTTGACGAGCAATTTATTGTCGTTAGCATCTGGACAACCACTTCAGGATTTAGAAGATCTCTGTGCTGGTCGAGTGTCCCTCTTCCGGGCCCTGAACGATGACACTTTCGCAGAAGTCCTGTCTCAGGTTTCTCCATATGATACAGGCCAGCTCGCAATCACCAGTCGCCCCGCGTATCTTTGCGCCGTGCTCCGGTCTCTTTCGGAAGTTAAGCTGCGGAGCAAAACATTTTTTAAAACAAGGGTAGCACCGTATCGTGGACCGTGCTGAGGAATATTTTGGTCTGGTGCTGCCGGATGTTCCTCATGGAGCACGATGCGTGAGGACCTTGTCGGAACTGGACATACTGAGCGACGAGATGGATCCGAGATTCAAATCTCATAACGACTTGCTGCATATGCTCGATTTGTCGTCTCTCGTTCTCCGAAATAGGGCGAAGAATCTGTCTTGTCGTCTTGTGATGATTCACTCCCTTGATCTTGGCTCTCCCCTTGACCTTTCTATCCCGTCTATGCAGACTCTCCATGTCTTTTGTTCATCGATATGCCCTCAATTGCTTGTCGAAACTGACCAGCCATCCTCGTGAACTGGACATGATGCTCATGGTGTAGGGCCATCCGTACGAGTTTGGTTTTTTGCGGGATTCGTCGCCAATCTACCTATTTTGTACGACGCGTTCTCTAATGTGAATAACCTCAATCTCTGTATTCCGACATGGGAGCCTGATTTTCTTAGCAAGATAACTTGGCGATGGATCGACCGCACATCTATTCGTTATATCCCCGATGATATTCCAAGTTATCAGGTCTTCATGTTTGTGTCCGCTCAACAGCACGCACTGGTAGTTCGGGGACGGGTGCAATGATAATTAGACAGAGTTGTGCAATCCCTCCCGCTGTTGTCACATATTGTTGTGGCTGCACAACGCCGTTGCCCCGACATACAATGCAAAACACGAAGCTCTTTGGACGCATACTTTTCAACAGAAAGAGGTACTTCTTGCCTGACCACTGGCGCGTCGACGGTCAGGGCCGTTTTCAAGCGATGATGGTAGTGGGCGTGGATGGTAGCACCTATTACCCTCTTGGATATATAGACACCAAACCAAAAAGAAGGCATTTATGTATCTCATGTACGTCGTTCCAGTGTAAAGGCGATATCTTGAAGTAAGGGCAAGTGAATAAGACTGTGTGTACCTGAGGTCTCAATGTGAGTTGGAACAATCGGTCAATATCAATGGTCGCCTTGACGCAGTCGGGATGTTCGAGCTCTGAGATTTCGCGAATGCCAATCTAATCCTCACCGCATTGTGATACTTATCGTTTCGGACGGTAGGCGATATTATGAGGTGGACTGTGACAAATGAGGGCACGTAAATCCGACAGGATGTCGTGCACATACACAGATGAAAATGCTGACCGCCAGCAAGCGACGTAAGACAAATTTGGCGGTGTCCATCCTATAAATTTAGCCAACTGCCATCACCCCGAGCGGTTCAGTCAGGTATATGCAGTTTACGACAGCTCGGTGAAACCAACGCAGACAGTAAGATCACTCACGTCTGGAATGACAATGAAAACACCGAATCACCTCGCCGCCATGGAGACCACCAATAGACCTTTGCTTGCTGACTTATATGGAAACAAGCTGAGTGGAACATACGATGAGACTTTGAAGGGTCTCATATTTTAGTAACACATGCTCCCATTGTGAATGAAGGAGAAAATTGCACGTACGGTTTGACATGCTGGAGATAAGAACTAGTGTATAAAGCAAAATCCACCGTCTGTACACAGGGAAATCTGAAAGCCCATGTGATGCCGTACAATCCAAGTCGCCGAGTTCCGAACGGAAGGGGTTCGTGTTCCTCGTGTCCCGCAGGCAGTCGTTGGTTATGCCATTCTCGCAGGAGGATCGATCGGTTACAGTAAAGCTGGGGGGCATCACACGTAAAACGACGTCTTCGTTTGACATCCACTACACATATCGGATAACGCTCCCAGTGCGAGTATTCTGACATTCGACGCCCAACGCTCGCTACCATGGATCGACGGTCACTATGACGAGTGGGTCCGAGAATCCACCGCAAACTATTGTCGCATGTTTCTCGTCAAGAACATTGCCCGAAATCAAGAGCGAGGGTCCAAGAGGGGACATATCCGAGTCGCGGCGTTATACCTTGCGGTTCGCGAAGCGATGGCTTGGGGGCGTGACCAGGCCAACGTGCATTCGAAGATCTAGAACGTGGCTAGGCAGGATCGGCTCGCGCCTGAATGGGTGATTCAAAGAGAAACCGAGCAAAGAAGTTGTGGTGAGGGAGATTAAGCAAAGATTTGACGACGATGACTCAAATTGGCAGGTGTATTAGTTCTGGCCAATGGGAGCAAAGACCGTGATTCTGTGAGCACCCATTGTTTCCTCTGGCTACAACAGCACGTCTGTCATCGTTATGCTGGGAAAGCGATGGTACTCGCTGGAGGTAGCATGTCTGCCATGGCGGTCCGGATGGCATGTGTATGGGTCCTGATATAGCGTGGGATGACGGGGAAACTTGTTTACAGAATGCTGTAGAACTTACCGAGCTTCAAGTTGCGGTGCTTCTTCGCGATGCAAGATTGATACGCCTGAATTTTTTTCTGTCAGTTGCCAAAATTCGCGCCGAGACAGCACTCGGGCCCCATGTAACGCCTGACGGTTGACGCTTCCTAGTTATAAGGGGATGATGAGGAGAACAAACAGCGCATGGGACTTTCCTTGATTTGATCTGTGAGACGTGACAAGCTGAGTTTAGGCAAGCTGCTGTGGTATGAACGGTAGCAGATCAACTTGAACTCAATGCGCACCGAAATGACGTTGAGTGAGGTCACGTGGCGGCGTACGGTGCCCGATCAGGCCAGGCGAGCAGGAGATGGGGAGGCGCGATAGCCAGCCCAGACCCCACTCTTTCTTCACTATATAGCGTCCTAGTTTTCCCTTCTCCTCTATCTTACTTTCCGCTTACTTCCACACACCATGGACAGTTTTGCTGAACCGCGACGACTATCCGCCCCCATCTCCCTTGCCGCCGTTCGCGAGCAGGTGTGCAAGCTCGAGAACGACCACCGTGCTTCAGGCATACCGCTGTCGGGACGTATCCTCCACGTATGTCACTACCTTCCCGTCGTATCTTCCTTCATTCGCAAGAGCCCCGACCTCCCAAGCCCCCCACAAACTCCCCCAGCAATCACCACAGACATTCCTCCCAGTCCTGTCGACGTACCACCTTCTGCAGACATAAATGCGAACTCGCTCGAGCAACCGCAGCCGTTCTCCACTAATGCGGAGGACCGAAATGCGAGCTGGACCCTTAGCGTGCGCTATGGCCACTCTGCCATGGTCAGCGGGATTACCTCCCTCGCCGCGACCCACGAACAGATCGTCATCGGCTGGACCGGCGACATCGCCTCGTCTCCGCCCTTAATGCCTCCTGCATCGTATGGTGCTCCATCGACCTCTGGCGCATCCGAGTCGTCGCTCTCTACGCCCGCGAAGATACCCACGAAGGACATCGGCCCGGAAGACAGGGTCGTGCTCGAGGAACAGCTCGCAAGATACCGCTCACGAGACGAGGTCACAATAGAAGGCGGGAAACCGACAACGTATATTCCTGTCTGGCTCGACGATAAGGAGGCACACGGACACTATGAAGGGTACTGCAAGCAAAGTGAGTCTTTCGACTGCGCGTTACGTCGCGCCTATTCCCCATCATTTGCTCTTTTGGTCCGCCCTGTGCTGGAGTGCGTTCCCAGCTTCAATTTACTCGTGGTAGAGCATTCAATTCATGATCCGCTATCTATTCAATCGTGTTGACTGGCTATATGCGCTGTCCTTCCCATATTCGACCAGCATGCTAACTTTCGCGGCACACATTTCCCGTGTCGTCTTCCTTGGCTCTATCCGGGCATCCAATCTTGTTCTTCGATTCGGACCATTACTCTATCTATGAGTTTCGACTGACACATCGGCGCTTCTATCGCGTTCCGGGTACCTCTCTATCGTATACCTGCTCCTCGGCATTGGGTTCAGGTGCCGATAGGCGGACGGTTGAGGCGAGGTGATCGCGATCACATTTACCAACTACATCCGCTGCGCAGCGCTTTCTTGATTCTCTCCGCGCTGCTTGTCCAGCTGGACTCATTCGAAATCCTGGGCACACGCAGGAGTCTCGCCGTACCCTAGAACGTGCCGAGCATGTTTGTCCCCGAGATTCCTGCGAGGCTTCGATTTCCTCACCTTGTCATGTTCTAACCTGTGCCATACACTCGATGCAACGCATCTTGGTGTTGGATTGGTTTAGATACAATGATAAGTTGTATGCGCATTGGGGCAGTTTCATCTATCCTTACGCCATACCATTTTGGTACTACCAATGTGAAGTACGGTGAAAGCGGAGCTTATATGTTGTTGTTCCCACAAGACGATGCTGTGTCAGGTTCCGCTGACACACATCTTTCGTGATTTAGTGACTGTATGCACATTGCTCTTCTCCACCGAGTCTGTCCGCCTTAGAACAAAAACTCACTTGTTTTATTTCTTATACAGCCCTATGGCCACTCTTCCACTATCTTTTGTGGCAAGATGTTGCAACAGAGTACGCATCCGCAGACTTGTACTGGCCGGCGTATGCCGCTGTGAATGCTGCATTTGCGAAGCGTGTTGCAGAAGTGTATAGACCTGGTGCGTTTCTCTGTCTATTGGGACTTAAGGCGTGTTTGATCTAACGGTTCATGGAATCTTTGCTGCTTCATCCACATTATCTACTTTCTGTCGGTATACAAACAGGTGACCTGATCTGGATACATGACTACCACATGCTACTTGTTCCATTGCTCTTACGCCAGAGCCTTCCCGACGCTGCGATAGGGCTTTTCGTGCACACGCCGTTTCCCAGCTCTGAAATATTTAGGCCAGCCACCTTTGCTTGTTTTATATATATCATTATTTATCTGACTGTCTGGGGTTTAGATGTCTGCCGAGGCGAAAGGAGATTCTCGACGGTATGCTCGGAGCAAATCTCATATGCTTTCAGGTGTGTTTACCCTCAATTTTATTTTCGTGCTCTCTGGAATTCATCGACATTAACAATTGTGGCTGTGAACTAGACATATTCTTATTCTCGACATTTTACGTCAACTTGCGTGCGTGTATGCGGCTACGAGATTACCGCGTCTGGAGGCATTGACGTACAAGGCCATGTGGCTTCAGTCGGATACTGCCCAGTAGGCGTCGACGCAGAGCGGGTAGCGAAAGACACGTAGGTATTTCGCAACGATCCGATAATGCGTCGATTTATGTTTTTGAACTTTGATAGGTTACGACCTGGTATTCAGCCTAAGCTGGAGGCACTGCGGGCATTATATGAGGGCAAGAAGATTATTGTCGGGCGAGACAAGCTTGACGTTGTTAAGGGTGTTGTGCAGAAGGTTAGTGGACGAACCATCTTACTACGAAGAAGACTCAAGGGTTTGTTTCGTCTGTTTCCAGCTGCGTGCGTTCGAAAAGCTTCTCCAGGACTACCCGCAATGGATTGGGCATGTTGTACTCATCCAGGTCACCTCCCCTGCGTTGTCAGACTCTCCGAAGCTCGAGCGGCAAGTGTCTGAACTTGTAGCGCACATCAATGGAGAATATGGTTCGCTTGACTTTATCCCGGTGCATCATTAGTACGTATTATGTCTTCCGTGATTTTGACAGTGAACTTGACGGTCATATAGCCACCAAACAATCAAGAAGGATGAATTCTACGCACTTCTCTCTGTTGCAGATCTCGGTGTAATAACTCCTCTGCGCGATGGTATGAATACTACTTCGATGGAGTTTGTCCTCGCACAGGAGCGCACAAAGCATAGTCCCCTCGTCCTGTCTGAGTTCATGGGTATTTCAAGCACCATGCCTGATGCATTGCAAGTAAACCCATGGAACCTTGGAGTGCGTTGCTCAGAACATTTGTATAAAATTTTCTGACTGTATGTCGATTTGCAGGAAGTTGCAGACGCGATGCATCGCGGTCTAATGATGTCCGAGGAAGATAGGTTGAGTCGCCACCAGAAGCTGTACAAGACTGTGACGACGCACACTTCACACACATGGGCCGCAATGCTCGCCAATATGCTCTTGGCACAAGTCGGACGACAGAACATGGCGCGCCAGACACCTGCCATGCCAAGAGACCGTCTCGAGAGCCAATACCGCAGCTCGAAGAAGCGGCTATTCCTTCTCGATTATGATGTGCGTGTTTTTACATGATGCAGGCTCGCTGGCTGTCCATGCTTATAAAATTGTCGATTGTATAGGGTACACTTGCGCCCATCGTCCGTGTCCCGAGTGCTGCCGTGCCCTCCCTTGACACCTTGGAGGCACTCGAACGGCTGACGGCAGACCCAAAGAATGTCGTGTTCATCATCTCCGGACGCGATGGCGAGTTCTTGGAGCAACACCTAGGGCACATCCAGAACCTCGGCATGTCTGCGGAGCATGGTGGGTTCGTGCGTGAGCCAGGTCACAAGGAGTGGTCGAACTTTACGGAGTCATTGGACATGGATTGGATGGGCGAGGTGCTTGAGATATTCCGCTATTACACTGAGGTATGTCACCGGTTTCTACTGCAAAATAAGCAAACTCACAGGTGGACACTTCTAGCGCACGACCGGAAGTCACATTGAGGTCAAGAAGAGTTCTATAACGTGGCATTATCGTTCGAGTGATCCTGAGTGGGGGTGAGTGTGGCCTCATGACGAGTGCACGCCGTTATAACTATGTTGCTCCTAGTTTGTTCCAATGTCATCAGTGCCAAGACCTGCTCGAGAACAATCTCGCCCGGAAGCGGCCAATCGAGGGTAAGTAACTGTGCGGACGACTTTGTGGACCCTATGCTCATGTTCCGCCCAGTGCTCGTGGGGAAGAAAAACCTCGAAGTCCGCCCCTTGGCCGTGAATAAGGGTGAGATTGTCAAGCGGATCTTGTACCACAACCCCGACGCCGAGTTCGTTTTCTGTGCGGGTGATGACAAGGTACGTCCGCTCCTCGCGCTCTCTGACGTCGTCCATCTCACAGTTCCTGTCTGACAGACCGACGAAGACATGTTCCGTGCGCTGCGGCTCTTCCCCGGCGACACCACCAAAGTGCGCCTGGACGCGCCGCTGTCTGTCACTCTCCTCGCGAAAGAGCCCACAACGACGTACGAGCCGGTGGACCTAAGGCTCACCCACGAGGGTGTCTTCACCACTGCCGTCGGCCATAGCAGCAAGCGTACGCTTGCATCCTGGCATGTCACGAGCCCAGAAGAGGTCGTCGAACACTTGCTTAACCTCGGACGCATAACAAACGAGTTGGCAAGCAGTCTATAAACCTCTCGCTCGACCTTCAACACCGACCTCACGACATTTCACGACGCTCTGATCTGACGTTGCGCCTCGCACACGCACAGGCTGCACAACCCCATATTGATAGTATTGACGGACTGGATCCGATATTGTACAGATGTAAAGAGTAGCGTGCTCGCCCAAAGACAAGTTTTTTTTTGTATTCATCCCTTAAGGGGTTAAGCACCATATACAGCAGAGAATAGACAGTGAAGAATGTATCGTAGGCACCAATTTTAGAGAATTCGCACAAGTACAGGGTGAACGCGAGACAAGAAACGATCAAACAACGTCAGCCTGCATGGGAATAGCCTGGCCGCCCTTCGCGGCACCGGGTGTGAACGTGTGCCACCGATCGTTGAAGCGCACATCTAGATATTGTGGAGACAGTCAGCTACCGAGCAACTCTCACACAAGGCTCCACTTACCAAGCGGACGACCACCGTACATGTACTGCTGAAACTTGGCTGTGAGAAACGAGTCAGCGTCATCAGCTCAGCAGGCGATTGGAAATCATACCAATAGCCGTCTCAGCCTCCTGCACCTGGCCAAATTGCACGACCCCGCAGCCTTTTGAGCGAGTGCCCTCAAAGAGGATCTCAGCGAGTTCGACTTGTCCAGTGGTCTCGAACAACTCAACGAGATCCTCGTTAGCGGTTGACCATGGCAGCTATGACGACGTATCAATGCTGCTGACATATTGCCCAGATGAAGTCAAGTGCTCACATTTCGAACCATAATCTGCTGGCTGGGCTCAGCTTCGAATCCGTCGTAGGCGCCGCCGTAGCCCCCGGAACCATATCCGTCCATGCGAAGGCCTCCTGCAGCGCCCGCCGGGTCGGGGCCGGAGTAAGGTGCGTACAGATCTTGACTGGAAAAGTCTCGTCCAGTCGCACCGCCAGCGGAATAGCCACCGCGGAATCCTCCTCGGAATCCCCCTCGAAGGCCGCTCCCGCGGAGACCACGGACGCCACCACGGAGGCCCCCGCCGCCGCCACGGAAAGCACCAGGACCAGACAGGCCAGCGTAACGATCCTGCATAAATTGAACAATTGAGTAATACATCATGCGTTGGACTATGCAGAGACATACCTCGCGGACCTCCAAAGTGCGCCCATACCAGTCGAATCCGTTGTACATGCCTTCACGACATGAGCTGCAAGCAAAGCCGATGCAACGAACTGTACATACCGATTGCTTGTTGCGCATCCTTTGCAGTTTCAAAGATGACAGTTCCAGAGCCCTTGGGACGGCCATCCGCACCAATGTTGATGTCAGCGCGGATGATATTGCCGGCAGAACGGAAAAGATCTTTGAGGTCTTGCCATCCGGCTTGATAAGGCAACTACGTATCGATCGCGCTATTGATCACTAGCGCTTGAAAATCGAATGATTTAAGACGTACGTTACCAACGTATAGTTGATTTCCAGGGTTTGACCCTTGGTGTCCAAAGTAGTTGTGGTGCGGAGGCCGCGGCGGAGGAGCTGCGTGTAAACCTTGCCCAGCCATCGCCATCCCAATCTTACCTGGAACAGGCGTGGCTCCGAAACGCGACTCGTTTTCACGGTCCTATCCGGATATGAGCCAGGAGCATATTTGAAGAAAATCATAGTAAATACCTCACGGATGAAGACAGGTCTGCCTAGCAACGCCTGCTCCGAGAGCTCGCGAATAGATCGTTGTGCGTCCTCTTGCGAAGCGAATTCGACGATACTTAGATGGAAATTTTCAGTCAAGACAGTCAAGACATGTTCATAAGACTTACCCGCATCCCTTGGAGACGCCGGTAGGTGTGATAAGCACTTCGGCGAATAAGACCTCACCAGCTAACACCCCAAAAGAAAACTCCCATCAATAAATGTCCTCTCAACTCGCCGTTCCGTCAGTAAGCCAAATAACTCCAAAACACCGCGGCCTCGAGACACGGCTTCTCTTAATCAGGCATCTCCCCGAGTGATCTCTCGTGAATGTGCCCGCCGGCCAAGCCATTTCTCCCCGAGCGAACTCTCGCACAGCAGGATTGCCCCACGGCCACCACATCCGCATCTGAACATATCGGCGAGAAACTAAGCTGAGATTCCCCAACCCACCTCCCCTCATAAATTCCATCAGGTCCCGATACTTGACGTCGTAGCTGAGGTTGCCGACGTAGACCCGGTTTTCCCTCTTGCTGACTTTGGCGAATTCGACCGCCTCTTCGTGCGGCGCATTCATGGGGCCCCCAAGCGAGCGCGAGAAGGGATCTGCAGGACGGCGCTCGCGACTGCGCGAACGGCTGCGAGAACGGCTGCGAGACTTGGTTCGCGAGTGGGAGCGGCGCGTGCGACGCCTCGGAGAGGCAGAATGCCTGCGAGAGCGGGAACGAGAGCGGCTGCGAGACCTCCGAGCCCGTCGCTATGAAAAATAGTGCTATCAGACGTGTACCTTCAGGGCAACTGAAACGGTACTCACGTCGCCATTTCGCCGGTCATCGGGCTCCCAGTGGTCACTCCTGCGGCTGCGGCCTGGGGGGGATGATCGTAAGATTTCCATCAATGCGTACCATGGTGAGTAGCAAGATGCCGTCAAATGCGCTCACCAGTTGCACGGTCACGATCCCGATCCCGGTCGCGCTCTCTGTCGCGCTCACGGTCGCGATCCTTGTCGCGGCGTTCTCTATCCCCCCTGTCTCTGTCTCTATCCCTATCTCTGTCTCTCTCGCGTTCCCTGTCCCTGTCGCGGTCAGCGTCACGGTCTCTGTCCCGCTCTCTCTCACGATCTCTCTTGTCTTCCGTGTCGTCCTTGATTTTCATGTCGACATCCATGCCGGCGGTAAGTGTGGTGCAAGAGCTGCGAGGGTTGCAGAGAGGGGAGGGGGTGATGATGAGAGTCAGAGGTCAAGTCGTAAAATTCGTCTCCTGTCTCATGCCCAATCAGACCGCAGCGCCTGTCGGACTTCGAACATCCTCTATATTAGGTAAGTCCCCTCCGTCTCTTGGCGTCCGGGCCGAGAAATCTCGTACCACAGCCACAAGCCACCCACCAACGCCTTCCAAAGTAGCTTATAAGTAATATCATACAGCCTTTCCTTGGCCAAATAAACCGGATTCGACGCATTTCCGCCCTCGGGAATACGTGACAATCTCAATCTCTTTCGAAAAGTTAAGTACTAGACATTCACGCACACTCAAACATCAGCGGTCATTAGTGTCATCTATATTAATCGTGAATAGCAGTGCCGGCGGTATCATAGAATGGTATATTCGTTAATTTGTTTGCCCCGCTCTCTGTCCTTCACCCCCTTCATTTCAGCACTACGCATGAATCTCCGTCATCGGCGCATGCCTCCAGCTCTCCTCCATGCCAACTATATGCACTTGCCAGCCCCAGCTGCTGTGGCCGTGGCGGCTGCGGCGGCTCTCGACATCTGTGCTGACATGCGCAGCGATCTTGTTCGCGGTGTTAGTGCGCCGACCCGCGCGGCGGCGGCGAGGGGTCTTGTCTCGCGCACCGCCAGGGGTGGCGGTGAATGCTAGGAGTTCTTCGACGGGCTTCTCCTTGGCGGGCTCGAGTCCCACGAGAGACGAAGAGGAAAGCGCGAGCAGGTCGCTGATATCGTACACGAAGGATGGTCCTGCACGTCCATGATCCTGGTCAGCATGCTGGTCGCAACAAGCCGCTCGAGGCAGGAAACTCACGTCGTGCGACCGACCCGTGAGGAGAGATGTGCGTGGTGTGCGCGTTCTGAGGCTTGGCATGTGACCATCGCGAGTGGAAGTCGCCGTGCGAGGACGGCGAGGAGGAGGTGGATGAAGGACTGCGCCTGTGGACCGGGACGTACTTGGGCGAGCCCGAAGAAGGGACGGTGACTGGGGCCGACATGACTATTAGGCGAGACAAAGGCCAAAGGCGAGGATGAGAACGCGGGAGTCGACTGCGGAAGAAGGATGGACTCTGACCTGAATTGGGCGAGGTACTTATACACCAGCAGTGACTGAGCGACTAAGCCACGCTATGTGTTGAGTGATACTCTGCCGGCGGGATGACATGGCTAATAATATGGGGATGTCAAGCGGAGCAGCAGTCAGCGCCGGAGTCGGGTCAGTCACGAACCCAAGCAAAGGCCGCGCCTCCCGCACAGGCCCCGAAAGGAGGGACTCGGAAGTTCCAGGAGGTTCGAGTGACCTCACACAGCTGCCCTGATTATAAACATGTTCCAGCACATTCACGAATCCTCTGCCGCAGACGAACAGGAAGGCCATCGTGCGAATGCACTAGCACAAACTAGGACGGAAGAGTCGAAGACGCAGTCGGCGGTCAGATGAAGAGGCTACGATCAACTCGGGCGGTGGCTGGTAAGCCTCGACAGTGAACACATTTATCTTATCCGATAACCTCAACTCTGGCCTCTCCGACCGAACCCGAGTGACGTCAACGCAAATGCCGATTTCCGCCACGATGAGATGTGAATATCCAGGCATGCATTAGAAAGGGATGCAGTATAATGTAAGTAATGACCAATGCCATAGTAGACGAGGCCGTTTTGTTAAGAGAGTCCATCACGAACTACTCGTAGTCCCCGCTGACTCAAGCTTCCACGAATGTCTTCACGTTCTGCAGCCAGCTGACATACTCCTGCAACGTAAAGCCAATAAGGAAAAGCTCGAGCAATAGAATGACAAGACTCCGCACCTTCTGCTCCTTGTACTCAGCGTACTCGGGGACGAAGGAGGCCAGGGCTTCATTGATCCCACGCTCCTGGAGGAACTTCTCAAATTCTTCCTGGACGCTAACATCGAGAGTGTCGAACTGTGGCCCAATATACAGCCCGCGGCGCCTCCAGTCAGCTTCCGCGGTCAACTCCGTCCCAACCTGAGCGTCCTTATAGAACGAGATGTTCTCCACAACGAATGTGCCCTCTTGGCATATCACATCGACCGTCAGTGCACCATTCGCTGCAGACTGAATGCAAGCCACATCAAGTCAAGTACAACAGAAAGCAAAAACGCCATACACACCTTTGTTACGGAGAGGGAGCAACGGATGGGGTATGAGTGATTGGGCTCTTCATCAGACCCATCGGTTTCTTCCTCATTCTCGAACTGGGTCTCTGACTGATTGATGTCGGCAATGGAGAACATCATTCGGATGCTGAGAGGTCACCACAGTCAGCACAATAGCGTCAGAAAGGACCAGAGTAACATACGACTCGTTCCCAAACTTCCGCGTCAACGCGACCTCGTCATTGCCGGCAACATCCTCGATCTAGAACAATAGAATTAAATGCATACAGTTGATGGTATGAAAGATACGGCGCGTTGTGCATGCGCTCTATAGGGGCGCTTCAGTGACGTAGGTGCCACAGCGGTTCAATAGCTAATGACACGCCCATCCAGCGCGGCCCATAGAGCACTACACAGAGTGACCGAGAGCACATACCGCCCAAACGCCCTGCGCCTTGAACGACCGCAGAAAATCGGGTTCCGCCTCCGTAGCCGCCTCCTTTTCGTATTGCATCTCCTCGGTGAGCTTTTGCGAGAGCGCAACGTCAGCTGCAAAGGCACCACATCAGCATCAATTCCTCCTCAAAACGGATACTGTACTCACACGCGCCTTCTCCCAGAGTTCGCGCGGACAATGAGAACGCCCTCGCCGCACACGCGGGTGCGGCGCGGACAGCAAACACAGGCATGGCCGCGCGCGACAACGAGCGCGGTGCGCTGCGGACAGCTAGGGCCCGCGTAGAGACGAGCGAGACCTGGCGGAGAGCACGAATGGCAGACATGATGACGGCGTCAGGAGCGGGGGGTCGTGGCAGGGGAGTGGAGACAGCGAGCACTTGTGTGTGAGTGAGCTGGAGGTGTATTAGGCGCCGCGCGCGAATCCTAAATTTTGGGTGTTCAGGGTCCTTGTTTGGCTGCAGCCTCGGAAACAAACAACCGCCTGGCTTGGTGGCGCCGGAGATTTTCTCGAACATTTCTCGAAGGCCTCGCGGAGTTGCGCATCCTACTTGGACGCATCTGTGGATCTCGTCTCGACTGAGATATGTATGAATTATCCGACTCTGAGTTTTTTTCTGGCTAGAGATAGCTGCTGACGGGGAGTGTCGCATGGCGTGACAGTTCGTGGGCGGTGCGTGTTCCGTTCAGCCGTGCTCATCATTTCTCATGAGGTATAGGCACGATTCGGCCGTCTGCCAAAAATTATGCCCAATCTGACCACCTATCAGAGCAGACACAATGATGCACCGTGCATTTGAGACACCCACAAAAATTCGTGAGAACATCTTGCGATCAGACTAGTGTCGGGTATTTAATGTACGAGCCGCAAGCACGTCGAGAACACTGCTCACACTGGGTGGTAGTGTACAGCATGCAGGGGTACCCACCATCCACACTCACGCTTCAGCCGCAGCCGTGACATGCCGCCATCGACGCTGTCGCGTTCCATTCCGCACCTCAACCACATTTTTTCCAAGCATTTCCCGTTGCGAGAACAATCCTGCCACCTCCATCCTGCCACCTCCCGAAAATCATCCACCGTCGCTAAGTCGCACAGCCTGATCCACTTGACGATTAGACGGAGCACACAGGCACCCAGCCGTAATGCGAACAGTGCACCGATAACGCTCCGACCACCCAGGAGAAACGTCACACCATTTGGCAGTGCACTTGCTGCGACCGCACACCGAAAGTGTCGCCCCATACGTCGCAAGTCGCCATCGATGACCGTCAGGGGAGAGGGAATAATGCGGACGTCGCAATTTAGTCAATCAGCACGCACGCATGTAGTGGCACACTCACGTCGTGTCCGGAATCCGCCATCTAACCGCATGTTGGCTCCACACCATTCCGAATGCTATTCTGCGGACCGCGACCCACCTCGCTCGCTCGCGACGGGTCCTCCGCCGCACTCCCAAGCTTAGCGACATGGAACCATTCGTCCGCCTACCATACCCGCGCGATTGTTGCTCTCTCAAGCATTGCTGGATTGACTTGCCGTCGCAGCCCGCTTGTCGTTCAGATCTAGAGCGTAGGGATCCCGGACGCATGTAGAACACGCCAACTCGCGCAGGAAACCAGGTTTTGCGCGAGCGAGAGATTGCACAGCACATGTCAGTCAGAGTGGGGCATCACGGCGGGAATAGATAAATCCATTTTTATGTACACAGATTGTCAGCCACATTGAGTCATTTATATATATAAGAGTACAACCCGACCGATCGGCGGGCGCGCATAGCAACACTTCTCGAGAGCAAGCAAACATGGAAGAGCATAGACAAGATACGGAAACACAGGATTATGTAAGTTTGTATACACATGGCTAGTAAGCCTGGCACCGGGACCAATCTCTAGGATTTTAAGCTCATCAAAGGGATCCACAGCACAGATGCCTGACCCCTTTACTGGCTGAAGAACCAAAAGAGATAGATCCTAGCCCACGAATGCAAGCCATGGATATTGGACTGTTCCTGGAATCATGGGAGAGTACAGAGGATGAGAGAAGACTGACAAATCCAAATTCATTCAACTCAACAATTATCCATCATGAAAGGTACAAGGAACAACAACATGTCGACTGTCAGGCTTGCCGATCTGCCCAGGTTATTCGAGGGCTCCGACAGCTGACAGTCACGCGGCAGTTGACGCATGTGGGGATCCGGTTAGACGGCCACCATCGTCCTGGCTTCCATCCCACTGTAGACCGTGGCGCCGGGTTCAGGCTGTCCCCCGAGGTGGAGGTCCTTCCCACGCGCGGGGTCGCTATCAGCTGGGGAATCAGCGGACGGTTGCTTCGCCTTTCTCGTCTTCGTCCCACCATCGCCCCCGGCCTTGGCACGCGGCCGTTTCTTGCCCTTCCCATTCGTAGTGCCGGAACTTTCACCATGGATCTCACTGGGCGCGACGGCCTGCTCGGGTTTGTCGTTAGTGGCAGGCACAGCGGCTGAAGCTGGTGCGGAGATGGTCGGTGGAAGCGAGTAGGGCACAGGGGCGCCAGGATAAGGGGGGAAGGGTGCATAGAGAGGTGGCATGGGGTAGTAAGCGGGATGGGGTACGTGCGGTCCATTGCCATTCGGTATACCCTCGGGGTGGGCCTCGCCGTTGTGAGGTGGCTGCACATAGCCAGGGGGGTAGTAATAAGAGTAGTATCCTTCGGGGGCGGCGGAGTAGGGAGCAGGAGGGGTCACAGACTCCCCCCCGCCGTTGGCAGGCGCAGTGAAACCTGACACGAAATATCGTGAGTCGGAATTCGGCGGTCACTGCTGTGTATTGTACTAACCTTCTGTTGCTTGCTCGCCATTCTGCGACCGGTTCTTGCGTTTGTAAGGACCACGTTTGATCCCTTTCTTCCTTTCCTTACGAACACCGTCGACGCACGAATCTGCGACGCCATATTTCACGCAACGCTCGCAAGGGCGTGCCTCGTCGCATCTCTTGCACGCGTGGGCACAGTTCGTGCACTGATAGTTCAGGTTAGTCGTCAACATACTTCATGCGCGCATATAGCCTGGTGCTCACCGCCATCTTAACCTGCTTACGCTTGGGACGAGGCACGGGAGAAGTCTGAAGTCCAGGTGCGTAAGGAGGATATCCTGTCGTAAATCTAATGTAAAAAAACGGCGAAACGGATGTGATTGTTCAGGAAATCACCTTGGCTGGGCGGAGGGGCAGGATAAGCATATATCATGCCGGGGGGAGGAGGCGGGTAGGCCATGATGTATGGGGCGGGCGGCGGGGGCCCACTCGGGGCATTAGGATCATGAGCGCCGTCTTGGATGGCAGGGGCATAATAAAAGGGTGGATAAGGGCCGGGAGGCGGATAATGAGCCCCAAACTGCTGAGGAGGGTAAGAAACTACAGGATGTGGCGGAGTGTGGTCCTGGGAGGCACCGTTGGGAGCCTTGCCCTGCTCGGTGGCCATGTCGTGGGAACTCAGAGGAACGACGGTGGAAAGGGCGACGTAAATGAGGATTGTGGTGAACGATTTCTAAATTATCTGACGGCATTGTGAGGAGTAGTTAGAAAACAAGTGTGGTATGCGGAAGCGGACGAATGAGCGGAGAACATACGGGAGTGGCACACTCCGACTCAAATCCTGCTCCCGATCTCGTCGCCGCTCAGAACTCACCGACGCTCCTCCCACTCCGTTTGTGTTCCGTCTTAATCGTCTGCTTACACTTGCTCGTCGGCTGCAATCTGCTCGAGACTGGCGACGGCTGCAACCCGCGAGTTCAGGCAGGTCGACGCGGGACTGAGAAATCCAGCAAGTGCGATGGGTCTGTCTGATGGTCAGAGAGTCAAGAAGGGTGCACGTGTCCCAGGCTGTGAACCAAACCTTATGTCGCCACTTTTGAGCGCTTCGCTCACCCGTCGTCTCGACGTCGACGAGCTCGTCCTCGACGCTCTCGGCGGTCAGCGTCGTCCGCCAGACATTGCGGACGGGTAGCTCGGTGTGTACGTGTGTGGCCAAGTTTGCACTAGTTCTGTCGGCATCCCCCCGCTCGCATATCCCCACTTTCTCCGCCCCAACCTCCACGCTCCGCCGACCGTTGGCCGCTGGTTGCGCGCCTGGAACCTATAAATCTCTGGAATCTATTTTGATCAATTCTTTCATCTTTCCCCAGCCGAACTTCTGTTTTTGTCGCCGCATTCATTCGTCCAGATCTATTATTGATGGTTGAGTTATTGATGGTCCGCGGTCTCGGAGTGGTCCTTTACACCCAATCTCAGATTTCCTCAACTTCGTTCGTGCTCCCCAGCTTGCACATGTAGTCGCAGTACTGCTATCGTCTCCGTCCGATAGAGACATCGTCCTCAATGAGATCCGGCAGTTGCACGCGCCAGGGCGCGTAGCAATTCGGTTCTTCCTCGTGAACGCGACTCCGGGGCATCTCGTTTCCAGCGTCAGATGTCTTATCTCGTGAGAGTGGCCAGGTGTCATTGCAGCTGACAGTTGGGGCATGCCTGTGCCAATATTCAAGTTCTCAACCTGTGCAGTACAGCAAACTCGCAGTACATAGTAGCAAGAGTCATAGCCCTTCAGCGTGGAGACTTCAATCCGGCCCATGAGGGCCTGTCAGGGTTGGCACTAACATCTCTACTGTTCGTCTGGAGGGTCAACCACGCTTGAGGCTCCCCCACTTTTCAAATTGTGGCGAGCGCTGTACTTTTTAACATATCGGGCTCAACAGCGCAGCGCTTTCGCTCTTCCATCCTTTCCATCCGTTCCATCTTAAAGGGGGCTTTTTAATTGACAAGTTATATCAAAGATGGTTGTCAATTGAGCTGGTGAGTTGCCAGTCTCCGACCTTTTGGCGGTGATACGTTAACGACATCTTTCACTTAGGCCCGACTCAACTCTTGGAAACGACAGATATGGCGCTCCCACATGTAACAAATCGTCCACTCCGAGTCTTCCCAGTCTGTGGGCCCTGAGATGTGTTCGGTGGATGGAACACGAAGACGATCTGATAAAATTTACTTCCAGGAAGAAGACAGCGGCGTGGTGTTCCTTCCGCACAAATCGGCCAAAGCTAGACCGTGAATTGACAGGAAAGCGAAGTTACCAGAAAAGGCCCTGACCATTCACCTGGTACTCAGCACTTGGAAATATTCTCTCCTCAATGGGCCAAGGATTGGCTGCGCAGTCGAGGAGTGCTAGTGAGTACAGGTCGGGCTGAGCTTTAGTGACGCAAATGCCCCGACGCTTGCATTGGTCCCTACATTGGATGTCCAGTATTCGCATCTAATACATTTTCTCCCCCTAGGCTTATCTTCGTCTGTCGATGCCGGTTGGGGTGGTTAACCTTGTTATCTGCTATCCGAACACGCGACCCCTCTAAACAACATAGCGCGAATGTCTGTGGTCAGAGCATCTAT